TAAGGGTGGGAAGTATATGAAATTCCATTTTGAAGTTGTCAATTCTAAATCATCAGGGTCTGTATATGATGTTCATTTATTTTGTATGTATCAGGGTTCAGACTGTCGTGAGAATATTACCTTAGTTCTCGGGCATTATGCCAACGACATTAAAAGAATTCAGTCGTCAGATTTTAAGCTAAAAGGCAAAATAGTCAGGTTGTTCTTAGGTGGAGATTTTCATTTTATCGATGATGTTCTAGGACACCAGGGTTTAGCTGCTAGCTTTCCTAGTTCTACAGACTTAGTTAAGTTGAATTCTCTAAGAAACCATGCTTCTATGCCTCACACACCTGCTAATTGTAACATCTTAAGGAGGACAATACAATCTATGGAAAGTGCTTACAATGAGAACTTGTGTGAAGATAGACAAGGTGGAAACCTAAGAGCTCTAGGTAAGTTTCATAATTCAATTATTGCTCCTGTGATTTTCCCCATAATAACTTTAGATAATGTAGTGCCACCTGTTTTGCATATTATGTTAGGAGTTGTGTTAAAACTTTATAAGTTATTGTTGAAGGAGTGTAAGACTTTGGATTGTCAAGCTGTTTCGTCTTTGTTGCATAATGAGAATGTGAGAACGAATGAATTGTGGGCTGCTAAAAGCTTTGAATGTTCTAAAACAGCAGACTCTTTACGTTTATTAGGAAATCAATTTGTAGACGTTGCAAATCTACAGACTTGTTGGTTAGCTTTTGATAAAAATATTTCTGAATTGGAATGCATATCTCTAAACTCCTCCAATAAAAAAACAACCTGTAAACAGCAAGAAAAGTGTGCTAGTATCAGGTGTTTAATTACTAAATATGATTGTAACATTGATTGGGTGGAGTGTGGCATGTGCCAAAAATTGTTCCATCAATTTTGTGAAATTATTGGTGGTTCGGAAAAGAATGTATTGTGTGATATAGAGAAGTATGAGTGTTTAGCATGTCAGGGTGAAGATTTAGAATGTCTTGACCTTTATATTTCTGAAAAAATTTCTTTTATACCCGCACAGCGCGAAGTTTTAGACGTTGAGTATATTTGATTGCAGATAGAGTGTGAAGACCTAGAAAAAATATCTATAAGTAGCATGGGGACTCATGAGAGGTCTCTTTATAAGTCCCTTGAAGATATGAAAGTTGAGCGACAAGCTTACCATGGTAATGTATTTGTAGGTAATCATTGTAAAATAGTATTAAGAAACCACTATAAACTTTGTAGTGTTATTGATGATGAAGCAATTAAAAATAGATTTGTACGTGTGTTTAGTGTTTTTAATAACTTGCAACCTATTCTTTTTAAGCAAAAATTTCTTTCTGATGCTGAAATTTCTGAGCTTCATCAATATATAAATTTATTTGCTATTGAGTTTCATGCTTGCTTTCCAAAAGAAAGTATCACGCGAAAAATGCATGAACTCATTTTCAATGTGCCACTATTTGTAAAATTGCATAAAACTATTGGGTTGCTGAGTGAAGAGGAGGGAGAGTGTTTGCATAATAGCGTAAATAAGGAATTAAGGCAGTTGCATTCAGTTAGAAATCAGGAGCAAAAGCTGCATCTTGTTTTAAAACGTTTTGAATTGCACAGCAAAGCTGATAGGAAGCTTCAAGCCTCTAAGGTGAGAAAGTGTGTTGTGTGTTCAGAGCGTGGCGAAAATTCATTTTATAGACAAGGTCTTTGTCTTGTTTGTGGTCATCAAATTTAGTTTAAATGTTTGAAAAGTTAAAAAAAAAATTAAACTTTTTACATCTAAGATAAATTATATAAGATCCTTAATTTACAAATAAGAGAATTCTATTCTGTTTTAATGCCTGTAATGTTTGTTCAAAATAATAATAATTTTTTATTACAATGATTTTATATATTAGGTAGATGCCCATTCTGTTCCTATTTTCAAAAGTTTATTATATCTATGCAATGCCTTTGCTCAGGTTAAAGAATGGAATAAAAGTCTAGCATCAAATGTATAGCTAACTATTTTCATTTGTGATCAGAGCAACTGGTGTGTTTGTTGGATATGATTTTGTATGTTTATGTAGTTAATTCAAAAAACGTTTTATCCTTTGTTATGTAATATGTAACATTTTTTATATATTAGATCTCCGTTCAATTTTTATCATCAAAAGTTAGTTCTACCTTCGCAGGACCTCTGCTCTACATACCTCCTCTCTGGTTAAAGAATGGAATATAAGTCTCATTTATCAAGTTGGTGTAAAAATTTAGCTTAATAAATTAAGAAGTTGTAAACTTTATTATCACAATTGCCAAGTTGACCAAATGTTCTTCTGGTTTTAAATGAATTATGTATGAATCTAGTATCAACTGGGTGTTCAAAGATAGTTTACTGCTTGAAGAACTTATCAATGGACCAACTAATTATAAAACAGTTTTTAATAAAAATAAAAACGAATTATCAAAAGATTTAAATCAGCTATTTGTGTATATTTAAACACTTAATTTTTTGTGAGAAGAGATTGTTGATACAAGTACCATAAAATAATTCTACTACCAAAAGCTAGGTTAATTCAAAACCTTTAACTCAATTTTGGTCATGAATTATTTTATTAGAATTGATGAGTTTTTATTTATTAACTACCTAACACCATATTATTAGAACTTTATTTTGTAATGTAATGATTTTATCAGCGTTCCAAAATAATTTTCTAAATCAAGAACTTCTATATTAAAAAAAAAGTACTCATTTAACAACTAATCGCCCCTTATAACGACGTTTTTCATAATTTTGCGAAAAATGTGGTTTGCTTTCACAATTCGATTAAGGCTGTTTTAGTTAACCTTAAATAATTAAGTAAGGTTTTTTTGTTTTCATTATTGTCAAACAATAAGTGTATTTGATAATAACTATTAGGAATATATTTTTCTAATTTTTTTTTGATAAAAAGTAACATCAAATTACAAAAATTTAGCCAAATTCAATATATGTCATATTTATTCTAAAGTAAAAGAAGTTTTTCTACGAATGCATTAAATGTCATAAGGTAAAACATTTTATTGATGTCTTAATTGTTTTTACAAAACAAAATTACCTCTTATATTTCAAAAGTTATAAAAGTTTTAGTAACACCCCTTTAGTCAATATTTTCAAAAATTAACAAGAAGCCGTTAAGCTCGGTTTGAAACAGCCGTGAAGTAGGAGTAAATAAAAATAATAGTTGTAATAACAGCGATTAAAAGTAATAGTAAAGATTATAAAAAGTAGACACTATACTATTTTAATAATAATAATAACAAAAAGAACAGTAAAAATAATAACAACATTGATAATAACATTAATAGCAACAACAGTAATATAACAAAAACAATAATATATAAAATAAATTATGACAATATTAACAACAGTAAGAATAATAATATTTATAATGATAAAAGTATAGCAATAATAATACTAACAATTATAGTGATGAAGAGAAAATACTTCAGTTTAAGAAAGATTAAAATAATAAATAACTGATTATTTATACTTCATAACTTTAACTATTTTTTTTTTTTAAAAATATTGCTTATAAATCTTATACTTTCCTTCAACTTATTATTTATAACCCTAACTCTAAGCTTCTATTTATCTAATTTTTTTTTCTCTTTTCTGTAGTGTTTTAATATTTTTTGTTAAATTTAATAAGTTTAACAAAAAATATTAAATCACAACAGAAAAGAAAAAAACTAGATAAATAGAAGCTCAGAAATAGGTTTACAAATAATAAGTTGAAGGAAAGTATAAAATTTAAAAGCAATGTTTTTTTAAAAAGTAGTTAATGAGAGCAGTTTTAAATTTTGAGAATGACTTACATTTCTTACATGACAAATTCAGTAAAAAAATATTAACAAAGAAGTCGCTTGAAATTAAAATTTACCAAGAAATGTGCACTTAATTATAATGAATGAATTTGTAATAAGTTATCAACTCAAGGTAAGTACTAAACCACAGGTTTCTACAACTAAATAATCATACCTCTAGATCTTCAACTAAAATTTCCGTAGGTCGCTCCTCCGGAACATTTATCGACTGTAAACGTTTCGGCTGTAGAACTTTATCGACGGTAATTTTGAAAAAATTTTTATATCAAGGTAATTCCATGACAAAACATCAAGTCGAAATAACCCACTATCTCAGAAATACTTGATTTTTGGCACAAATGCAGTTAATAATGTCGTTAGTAATAAACATAAATAATTTAGGGTCAATTTCATTATTTTAAGAGTTATGGGTCTTTGAAGTTTAAGAATTTTAAAATTTTTTTATTCTCCGCTCTCTTAGCAACGTCTATAGCAACACTAAAATGTTAAAGTATACACAGTTACATTAACCATTCGTTTACAAAATTTAATAGGTATAGAAACTTTTGAATAAAGAAATCAAAAATCATTACTTAAAGTTATTAGATCTTATATTTGATTAAAAACTTTGAAATGCAAACCGGGTTTTTAACAATAATTTTTTAGTAAACATGTCTAGTTTAAGATTAATTGCAGAAAAGGTATTGATCCATTCACTTTAAATCTTTACAAAAATAGTTTATATATAAATGCCTGTAAGAGGCAAAAATTATTTCATTGTTTTTTGATGCACTTATCTATTTTATTATTGTTTTATTTTTGCAATTTTATTTTTGCATTTTTATTTACCGTTTTGGTTATAATCAGATTATAACCAAAACGGATTATTAATCTCCATTTAAAGATTATAATTAAAATAATTTCTCACAAAAAAAATAATGATTTCTCACATAAGTATTATACTCAAATGTTAGAACCAGTTGCTCTGTTTAATTAATTAAACAAGAAACCAGAAATTCATTTTTAATTTAAACTAAATAAGTCTAATCATATGATTACACTTATTTAGTTTAAAATAAAAATGAATTTCTGGTTTCTTGTTTAATTAATTAAACGGAGCAACTGGTTCTAACATTTGAATTTTGATTAAAATACTCATGCGAGAATTTTTTATTTATTTAATAATAGTTTTGGAAAAATAAAATATTGAAATTAAATATTTTTATAGTGGCTGGAACATCACAATGCTCAGTTGGATTGATTTTAAAATCAAATTGTCACAAGTTAACATTTACAAATCACATTGGAATAAACTTTTTCAAGATTTAGCTCCAGATGAGCAAAATTTAGTTGCGCTAAGGTCTGGTGTTTCTTCTGTTTTGATTATTGACTTATGCTTTCATCATCAAAAGTTCTTGAGAAGTTCCCTGTGTTTCAGAATAAATGCTGTGATCCACTGTTAGTTCACAAAAGACCCTGCAAAGGTTAGTAATCCTTGTCATAAATTTTATAATAGTAAATTTGTCATAATTTTAAGTTCTTTATGTTTGTTAATAGTAGGCACATTTTACTTTATTAAGTTATATTTTTTAATTTAGCATCTCTAAGAGAAGTCACGTTAAGAACCATAGCTTTAAACAACAGGATCAGTATTGTACCTGGTCAAAAAATTTGTACAAATGGCTTAGTCAAATTAAAAGCTTCCACTGAAATTAATACTGATAACATTAATATTGCTGATGATTAAACAAATGAAAGTATAAATAAAGAAAACATATTTAGTGTTCAACAAGAAGCTGATATAAATAAAAACAGACAAGAACTTTCTGATTGTCTTAGTATAATTGGTGTGTCACCAGTCAATCTTCACGGAAAGCCATTTGCAAATCGTATGAGTATTGGGAAAAAAAGTTAAAACTATTGCAAAAGTTTTCAAAGAAAAGTCATCAAGTTCTTTAAAAATTCCATTGACAGAAGTTGACGTTTTTGATAATGAATATATTCTTCATTTAAAAAAGTGTTTCAAATTATCTAATAATAAAATCTAGATCTTTAGCAAAGAAGGAAGGAGTTCTTGCAGTTCCACAAACTAAGCGAGGTAAAATGCTCCCTGATCAAATAAATACTTTAGTGAAAATTTTTCATGAAAATAATGAAAACTCTCGCCAGATGCCTGGTCAAAAGGATTTTGTAAGTGTTAGTTGGAAAGTCCATATGCAAAAGCGACTACTTTTGTCAAGCTTAAAAGAGTTATTTGTCTCATTTAAAATTCTATATCCACATGTAAAGTTAGGTTTTTCAAAGTTTTGTATTTTAAGACCTAAATGGTGTGTTTTGCCAAACTCATCAGGAACCCATTCTGTGTGTGTTTGTATCTAAAATCAAAACATAAAGTTAATTCTCTCATCCATTAAAATTGATTACCACGAACTATATAAATTTATTGTTTGTGATATGCAAAACAAAGAATGCATGTTACATCGATGTACACAATGTCCGAAAAATACATCTAAATTAGAAAAAAAGCTATTCAAACTAATAGGACAGTTTGAGGAAGAAGATACTATCGAATTTAACCAATGGGTTACTATTGATAGATCAGATTTAGTTATACAGCTTGTAACCATACTAGATTATGTAAATATATGGTGATGGAAAAACTAGTCAAGCTAACAACGCAATGCTACCTGATGGCAGAAAAACTGCCATCAGGTAGCGCAATAATTCTAGGAGATTTTGCATAAACTATAGTTTTGTTGTGCAGGATGAAGTACAAGGTTTCCATTGGAATAATCTTCAGTGCACACTTCATCCAGTGGTTGTGTACTATAAAGAAATTTAAGTGTTGCATTCCACTTCATATTGCATTATATCAGATGATAACTACTAACAATCATGATGTACCAATGGTTTACGAGGTAAAAAAATCAATCATCATTAACCTGAAGCAAAAAATACCCAGCATTGTAAACGTGGTCTACTTTTCTGATGGCTGTTCATCTCAATATAAAAACTGCAAAAATATATTTAACCTATGTCAGCATAAATCAGACTTTGGAATAGATGCAAAATGGGTTTTCTTTGCAACCAACCATGGAAAGCAACCTTGTGATGGTATAGGAGGAACAGTTAAACGGCTTGTAGCTAATGCTAGTTTGCAGAGAATTTCTACAAATCAAATATTAAACTCACGTGATATGTTTACATATTGCACTAACAAAATCAAAGGTATAAACTTTATTTTTATTTCATGTGAAAGTTTGATAGAAACAAGATTATTACAATCTGAACGATTTAAAAATGTAAAAACAATACCAGGAAGAAGAGACTCGTGAATTTATTCCTGTATGTCATAATGAAGTTAAGATGAAATACTGCAGTGATGACACTATCACTATCTTGACCTACATGTTTAAAAATTGCGAGATGCAAAGTGATGTGCAAAGTTGACATGGAATTTTAATTTATGCACCAACATGGCCCTTGAATCTTAAAGACATTTTCTTGCTTCCTTTTATCAGTTATTACTTCAAATCGACAGTTTGCTTATGTCTATGATATGTATATGACAATATTTTGCATTTATTAAAAAATATTACCTAATTTTGTTTTGTTTTACAGTCCAAAGAAAAACAAAGGAATATTTGAAGTTCAATAATTTGTATAAAAGTTTATCAATTCATAAAAGCACAAACAATACAAAGAGTTAATGTGTTTTGATATTTAAAATTGAGTTTATTTATGGACATGTCATGGATATTGCAGTTTTATACCTAAGTGAAAATACCTCTTATTTTTTGACTAGCTTTAAGTGAAAATACCTGTTTTTAGTATTTATATATTTTTAATTGAGTTTATTAAATATGCATATTGTAGTTTTACACATAAGTAAAAATTCTTACTTTCTGGTTGTGCCTAAACATAAGTACCAATCTTCTGTCTCAATCTCAATATACTTTCAATCAAACATAAAAATTAAATTGTTTAGATTAGTAAGTCAAAAAACAGCTCAGTTTTTTTTTTTTTTTTATAGATGTTTATATATACTTTAAGATTATGAAGTTTGGAAATATATAGATCATAACCTTTTCTGTAATTCTTTTTATAGTAAGCATGTTTACTTTTCAATTTTATTAGAAACGCCGATTTACTCTTATTGACTTATTAATAAATAAATAAAAATATTATTTCTTGGTATAATTTTATGGCTTAGCATCTAATAATATGTGGAAAATTTCAAATTATGAAACTATAGTTAAGGTAACAACGTATGTATTAGTATTTACTTGTTACTAAGAACGTTGCTAGGGGAGCATCATAAGTAAAAATGTTACTAAGTTTTATTATTTAAACGAGCATAACTTCTAAAATATTCCGATTTGTTTAAAACAACTTTAGGGAATTCTTTTTAGCCTAGTTAAGTATCTTTGTTGCAAAAATCAAGTCATTTAGAGATAGTGGGTTATTTTTTTGAATTTTTGTTGTTGTTTTGACATGGGAATTACCCAACACTGAAACAAATCATTTACGTCGATAAAATTTACAGCCGGTAACATTTTACGCCGATAAAAAGTTTTATAACATTGACATTGCATGCCAAACTTTATCAAACGCTTTAGAAATGTCAAAAGCGGTGCCCTTAACCTCTCCACTTTTATCTAAAGCGCAATAAAACCTATCGGTTATTACTGTTAGCAAATCATCCGTAGAACGAGATGATCGAAATCCATATTGATGATCAGAAAGTAGGTTATTAGATTTAAGATGAGAGAATAAGTGTTTGTTTATTAAAGATTCAAAAACCATGCTTATGATAGGAAGAAGACTAATGGGACGTTAGACAAATCAGATCGCTCTTTAGAATTTTTGAAAATAGGCATAATAGGTACCGCTTTCCAGCAGGCTGGAAAACAAGACTGATAAGTACTTGTTGAATAGTTTTGAGAGGATAGACGACAGCTCCGGAGAACACTTCTGCAAGACTATAACAGGTATGTCGTCCGGGCCACAAGTTGTAGAAGAGTCTAAGCAGGAAATCTGGAGTGATACGGATGTCAAGCAATGAATCAACCTGTTTGACGGCTATATCAGGTAGTACGCAACTAATGGAATCAAGAGATGATATTGATAAAAAGTTCTAGCAAACAAAGTAGTAATGGTTTCGATTGGCAATTGCAGCAGCACAATGTGAGGAAAACCATGGAGAAAAGTGAGGCTTGACCTGGAATTGTCGAGAGGGAATAAAGGATTCCATGCCAGCCTGAATCCACGAAGTTATGTAAGAAGCACATTTGTCAACAGGATAACAAAGATTTCTACCCAGGGGCCATCGCGAAGAAAATCACGGAAAGAGTTCCAGTTAGCTTTAAGGTAGTTGTAAGATGTACGATGATAGGGGGATTCTGATGATAAAGAAGAATGAGATAATAGTTTTAGAGAAACCAAACCATGATCAGACGCACCTAAGGGTTAGTGTGAAGAAACTGAACACTGACTAGGATCAGAAACAAGACATAAGTCGAGTAGAGAAGGTAAATGATTCGGGTTGTCTGGAAAGCGAGTTGGAAAGTTGACTATTTGAGTTAGAGATTGAGAAAGACAAAAGTTGTGGGCCTTAATGTCTGCAGAGTCACTGACACTAGAGCCAAGCCATTCAGTGTGATGAACATTATAGTCACCGACAACAACAATATTGGCTGATGGATAAAGAATGAGGGCTTGGTCAATATAATCAGAAATAACATCAAGAAGAGTGCAGTCTCTAGGTGAGGGAGAGCGATATAGAACAAAGAGAAAGGTGATAGAGTGAAGTGGTGCTAAACGAAAGCACATAAAAGAGTAGTCTGTGGATTCAAACCTTGTTTCCCAACAAATGGGTGAATTCTTACGAATGTAAATGCCCAGGCCAAGCATGTGACTATATGAGTCTTTACGAATTAAAGGAAGATAACCATCAACACTAAAATCACAAGATGAGACAGCTGAACTCAAATTAGTCTCACAAAGTAGGTCTGGTGAACTTTGCAAGAGATAAAACTCAACAGAAGAAAAGTTACTTCGAAGACCACGAATATTAGTGAATGATAGGTTTAGCGAACTTAGTGATGACAGTGGTTTTTTTGTGTTTTATAGTTTTTGTTACTTTAATCATTTTTAAATTTGTTAAAGAACTTGACTCGAAACATATATAGTACTTAGTACACTGTTTAATAGCCCAAGTAATAGCCTCATTACTATTAATAAACCCTAAGCCGTAATAAAAGACTCTAACGTGGCAATGCATACCAAAAGTACAAACAGGGACACCATCCATGCACAACATAGCACTGTTAGTACTTTGATATTTTTCGGCAGTTGATGGAATCAGCCTCTTTGAGAGCTACCACAAAACCATGCATAGAGTCAAAGAAGAAGGGGTGCGAGGCTGGTCAACAGATAGAATCTGTTTACCCCTTAAGTCTTTGCCTAGAAGGCCTTCTACAAGACAGTAGTCGGATGCATTTAACATCTGCCCAGGATGAGTATTTTTACCGAGATACCATCTCTAGCCTTTACTAAACCATGAGCCCCAAGACAGGGGGTGTTTTATGTCAGAGTTGGCATCTCCTAACCTTTGCCTAAAAAGGCGTATTGTACAAGGCAGTAGGACATGAAGCAGATTGTACTGGGTTACAGTACAATTTACAGTACATGTTACCAGTAGAAGGATAAGCCTGACCTGACTTAATATAAGCATAAAAAATATTTAAAAAATAAAATTATGAATTAGCAATAATCAAATACATATAAATATCCCAAATCTATATCAAGAATTGTGATAGAGCTGCACTGTTTACATTATGCTAAAAACATTTTTGATTGGTAATATTTAAATTATTCAACTGATATTTTAAAGCGGTTTCGTGAATAAAACAATAAAATATTGATAGTTAATTATTGTTCTTCCAATATTTAATTCTTGTGAAAATTACAAAATAAAATGTTAAAAATACAACAACAAAAAAAACATGAGACATAAACTACTTAACAAAACAACAAGTATGGCATGAATATGAGTATAAAAATAAAATACGAATTTTTGCTAACTAATCGCGAACTTTTCTGTCTGGCGACTCTTGTGGCCAAATCGCTGTCTTTATCGTTACGAATTATCGCTACCTAGTTGCTAGGTAATGTAGCTATCAAGCCTCGTGATTGAATTGTTGTCTTGACAGTATCAATTTCTCTAGATAGTCGCCAGCCAATTTTTCTTCGGGAGAATACACAGCTGTTGCTTTAAATCACAATATAAATAGCATAAGAAGTGGTTATAAATAATTTTTTGGCACAAATTTTTTACCGTAAAACTTTTATAGTAGTGTGTGTAAACAGGCCCCGATACCTCTTTTTTTTACCTTTCATTTAATATTTGTCTATTATGTCCTATGTTTAATTCTTGTGAAAATTACAAAATAACATGCTAAAATTTTTACCTTTCATTTAATATTTGTCTATTATGTCTTATATTTAATTCTTGTGAAAATTACAAAATAACATGCTAAAATACAATAACAAAAAAAACATGAGACATAAACTACTCAACAAAATAACAAATCTACCCGACAAGAAATTTTAATGTGGGCCATATATGGCATTTGTATGCTAACCATATGCTTACCACTCTCTTTTATGGGATGGCGTTGATGCGTCTCATATGTGGCTATAATGTTTATCCCACTAAAACCACACTAAATAAAAACGAACGCCACGCTTCATTTGTGCGTAAAAGTTTTATGTGGCCCACGTGTGGAAAGCACATGTTAGCCATATATTTACCACTCTCCTTTATGGGATGGCGTTAGTGCGTTTCATATGTGGCTTTAATGTTTATCCTACTAAAAACACATAAATAAGAGCTAACGTCACACTTCGATTGCATGAAGAAGTTATATTTATTCCTTCACTCTTTAATCTATCGAATTATTATATCCTATCAGTGTGTCCTATATGTTACCAGTTTGACCTATACGTAAACGACACTATAAAAAAACAAAATTATCATATAGCACAATAAAAAAATCAAACAAACTAAATATAGATATATACCAATTTGAAAAAAAGCAAAATTTTTTTTTTTTTTTTTTTTTATAAAATAGTATTTATTTACAATTATAAAAAATAAATTATCTCAACATGTTAAAAATAAAAGTTTTACAATATATATATTCGTTTTACAATGAGTTGATTTTCTTTTTCAAAAACGTTTACAGAAGCTACAATAATAATAAAATAAAATAATAATAATACAAGTGTTGCCGTATATATATATATAGTTTTTTCTTTTCATATTTTTTAATTTTTTTTTTTTTTTTTTTTCCTTATATTTTATATTTTTTTGTATTTTTGTATTTTATATTTTTTTGTGTTTTTCGATTTTATATTTTTTTGTATTTTTGTTTTTTAAATAGAAAGGCATTGTGCGGAAAAAAGTCGAAAGTTTAGAAAAGTTAAAGAGGAAGGTAATTTAAAGAGAATTCAGGAAGTTTTTATTAAAAAGGAAGGAAATTATAACAAAATAAAAGCAAAAAAAAAAATGTCAATACTTTCACACAAATACCACATTA